AGGACCAGGTGGAACAAAGAGCGGAGGAGATCCTAAAGCAGTCCTCGGGGCCCACGAGAGCGCAGCTAACAGATATCTTTAATTTGCTACCGCGTTCAATCCTCCGTCGTTCAGGTGGTGAGGATGGTGACACCTCGTTGGTTTCCTACGCAGTAGGAGGGGTTAACCCGAGATCCTCATCCTCCCTTCTGAACCTGTGCAACTCGCACCCTTGCTTCGTCAAGTTAGTCACGAGTTTTGTAAGGATGCTTGATCCTCAACACAAGTTTTCTAGCTTTGTGATAAGACGTGGATGCTACTCGCGAGTGCACAGAGACTCGAAGAACGGGCCCTATCCTTCCTTGGTAGTTTGTCTCAGCACCCCAGCTCTAGGAGATGGGCTCTGGATTCACGACAAAGTAGGAAGTACCTTTAAAGAGCACCTGGGCCAGTCCCTTCCGGGGACGATTGTTCCACTGGATGCACCTTTTGTGTTTGACGCTAGGAAAGTGTTGCATGCAGGACACATGGCAAACCTACAACTTGCATCCTCCCGAATCGTATTGGTTGCCTTCACGACCCTCAATGCTCGCTTTGTGGAACCCAGAGTGAAGCTTTTGCTAGAGGACCTAGGCTTCCCACTCCCTAGGCCGGAGGAGCTATCCATGCATGACAGGGCAAGGCCACAAGAGGACGTGCCAAGGCTTAGACAGTTGTCCGTACAAGAAGCCTTCAGCCTTCCCAACAAGGTGGGAGAGCTGCATGATGTCATTGAGGTTTTGGACTCTCAGTAAACGGCTGGCTCACGGAAGCTACCTCGTGTGTAAAACACGACATTGGCTTTGGGGAGTACTGTGCACTTACCTTTGCAGGACTGTGAATTCATGCATGTTATGATGGAATTTAATGCTGGACTGCTTGCATGCCTGGGTGATGCTTGGTGATGGTGCTGCATGCCTGTCTGGTCTGTCTGTCGGTCCCTTCCCTACCCCCACTCTTACCATGTTTTATCCTGGTTTCCCTCCCTAACAACCACTAACCCACGCGCGTGGTGCCATGGCTACCTAACGACCTCGCCTTGGACTCAGACTGTGCCCCGACCTGCGGCTGGCTGTAATACCGATGATGGGAGAGACTGCTTCGTATCCTGGAAGTCAGAGGCTGCTTCGTACCCCAGCTGTGTCTCAAAGAAAACGACGTGCTGAGTGGCAAAGACCCGCGGATAACACGAAGGGCCCGCAACTCTGCTTCCTCCTGGGCACGGCTTAACAGCTACCACAGGTTCAGTGGAATAGGCGACAGATGGACACCTGGACAGCACAACGTAGGGTGGCTCGCAACCTTCTTGGAAACTGGATTGTGTTATTCGTCGGGGGTGGTTTGCAGGACCAGCTGAGTTTCCATCAGTGGAGAGGGAACGGGATGAACATGTCAACAGAAAGGCTAACGACAATGGGGGAGTGCCAGACCGTTTTCAGCTGCTCTTCGCTGTCCCGGAGAAGCCTACTAGGCTTTTGCGCGGCATTGCTTGTGTGATGAGCTGCCCTGACAGTGTGGATGTCCCCTGAGTACTGAGTACTTTCTGGGCTGGCTGGCGTGATGAGCTGCCATGACAATGTTGACGTCGTTGAGTACTGAGTAACTTCTGAGTTGGCTTCGTAAATTCGGTGTTTAGGTGTCACCCTATCCTGGGGAAATTCTTCGGAGTATGATGGGCCATCTTGACTTCGGGCCTTTGGGGTGGTTTTGATGGGTTGGCGTTGTATGCCTGGTTGTGTTTGCTCGTTGGGGGCTTCGGAGTCAGGGTGTATGGCCTGGTGACAGTAAAACCTGCCACTCTTGACAGTCCATGGTGTCTATCTGGTGGATTGGTTCTTAGATGTTGGGGTGGTTTCCTCTTTTATTGTGGACTGTTGATTCTTGTTTCACGCCGACCTCGTACCACGAACCTCGCCTGGCTTGTCCGAGTTGTGAGAGCGTAAACCCCTTAAGCCCCAAACCCCCTATATCCTAAACCTCCTAAACCCCAAACCTCCTAAACCCCAAACGCCCTAAACCTCCTAAACCTTAATTCCTCTTGTTGTGTCCTAAGTGCCCTTATGGACTTGACATCGAAATCCTTGGGAGGTCCGAGGGTCCGTACACTCCCGGCTTGGCTTTGGCCCTTCATCCCCCCTCGCTGCCTCGCCTTTCTTGATATTATGACCATTATCAGAATAGTAGTAGTAGTAGTAGTAGTAGTAGCAGCAGTAGTAGTAGTAGTAGTGCTTCTTATTATCTCACAGGCAATCTTGAGATTTCCTTCGCCGTCTGCAGAAAGCTCAAAGAATCGGAATATTGGGGGCTCTTTGCTGCGCTTAACTTGCATGTCAGGTGAATCGCTGGGACCTCTTCGGAAAGACACCAAGGACCAAGTACCCACTTGCAGCACCTGGAACAGCATTAGCACGGAAGGCTTTGCAATTCAGGCGTTGTGAGATAAACACGGTAATCCCAAACTGGTCCCAAACCCTCTATCCTAAAGCGAAGTGTCATGTTTGCACCGACACCTTACTTAAACTCCAATGCCAACAAAAGCGCACACCCCAAAGCCTAAACCAGGCTGCAATGCGGGAACCCAACATTTTTTTGAATCCATAGCCTGAACCCAAAGCCTCCAGCGCCGAAAGCCCCCAAGCACGAGGTGTCCAACTCGGAGAACATCATGGGCATGGGCATTGGCCTCTTCTACAATGGCGCCTTCGCCCTCTAAGGATGGAAAATCCACGGAAACAGCAGTGCACGAGTCATATGAGACAGTGAGTCAAGACTCCAAGTCCTAGTCTTTTGAGCCCACTTGCCCAATTCCTGCCCGTTTGAAGGTATTCGTTTCATGGTCGTCGTCGGAGTGTTGACGACCCTTTCGTCATACATTGTCGCGGCAGCTTGGTCGCACTGCAAATCCTTGATCAGGCCTTCCTTCGAAGATGAAATGTCGCGGACCCCCCAGCGTCTTATGTGTCACTGTCACTGTGTCACTCCGAGATGGAAGGCACTTTGTGCTCGCCAGACATCGCCTTGGCGGTAGATGGTTTGTCGGATGGGGGTTGGCCTCTCTAACCAGTCCAACATCGAGTTGTAGGTCCTGTCTCCGAAGGGTCTCTGTGCTAGGACCCGGTCTCCGGGTTGTTTCGATTGGAAGCAGCATCGGCATGAAATGGGATCGAGAACGCCCAGCAGGTGCGTGTCTTCTTGAGAGATCTTCTTGTGTCTTCCAAGGATTCCGGCGGCCTCCATGAGATCATGCAGAGCCCTGAGTTCACCAGACTGGACATGCTGCTCCAGGCCGAGATTCAGGGCTTCTCGGGGAATGCGCCATGCAGAGACTCAGGCAATGAAATTTATTGCAAGATGCCCAGCTCACGACGCCCAGTTGTCTTGCCAGATGTCGGTTTTGTGCTTCTGCTCATCCTCGTCTGCTCATGTGTCGTCTGAGGCCGAAACGTGGCAATAACGTGGCAATACCCTTGAGTAATCTTCAGAAACCCAAGACTGACGTTAAGTGAGGTATATTCCTCGTTAAAATCCGACACCTCCATACTTGTCATATTTGTTTCTTCCCCTTTTGGAGGATCTCTATAAAGGGCCACTGCTTGGCGCCTGCAGCCAGGCCTTGATGACGACGAAGATGAAGAATAACATCATTCCGGCAGTTGTCCTTTCGCCTATGACGTTCCTTGGCCGTGCAGAGAAAGTGCCGCGGGTGCTCCGGACCACTCCAAAATCCCATGAGCAAATGCTGCATTGGCCTGCTTCGTCTGAGGAGCTGCAGCACAACCACGCCCGAGGGTATCCAAGAGACGCTTCGCACACCATTACAGACATGATTCACAGTCCTGCAGCTGTCAGTGTCAGCATGTCCCGCAGTGCGACCTGGAATCGAGCATGCTCGGGCAATCACACAGGCCTCTACTAGCATCCCCAAGCGCCCCGAAGCCTTGGCCAGCCAGAGGTGTTGCGTTGTTCGTACTTGCAGTTTTAGCTGATGTGCAGAGTCGGAACCCCTAAACCCTGCGGCCGTGGAGCCACTGAACCACATTAAGACCTGCTGCAAAGCATGTACCTGCCAAGAATCTCAAAGGTCAGATTCTGAATGTGGGTTGGTTCTCTATGACCCCCAACAGGCTATGATTCTAGGGTCCAGTTTTCAATGGGGGAGTGCGGAAGCTATCCCATACGCGAGAACATGCAGGCCGTCACACGTAAATTCATTCGATATCAGCAGCTAAAACGCACGACGATGCAAGTAGCAACGGAACAATGGTATGACGGCAAACCCTAGCAAAATCTCCCAATCCTTTCAGAGTAACCCTCAACACAAATCCGCAACAACCCTGTCAAGGTACATAAGGTACCTTCGATAATGTGCTATAGGTCCAAGAATCTCTCGGAACCGGTCTCACATCGAGGAAGCTTCAGTCTGTCGCGGCATCACGCATCTTGGCTGGTTCGGATGGCTCCAAAGCAGTCATCTGAAACCCTACACACTTTGTCCCAGGCAATTCCAGAGAGTCTACGGCTCGAGGCCCAAGTCTTCTAGGTTGTTGGACATTCTCACAAGTTTCCCGGTACATCCGGGCCGGACAGCACCTGGGACGATTCCGGCCATGTCGCAGCGCTTCATGCATACGGTGCATTTACCCTCCTTATGTGCCGGTGGAGCACTGGTTGGCGCTGTCTTCTTGGGACTGTTCTTGCGCACAAATCCTCCTTGGATCTTGCAAGGGCTCATGGCAGCGGAGGTCAAGCGAAGTGCCTGGGATGCACAGAAGCGCAAGAAGGAGCTCGAGGCACGCCCGCGAAGGCGCAGAACAGTTCGCTTCTACTTCATCAGGCACGCGCAGAGCCTTGCCAACCAGAACGCGTATCTCGTTGGTGGCCGCGATGTGATGACACCTCTTACTGAAAATGGAGAGACACAAGCTAAGCTGCTGGGACAGCGTTTACAACGCGAGGGTATAGCATTTGACCGCATCTTCGCATCCCACGCAGTTCGAGCAAGAAGAACTGCCGAGCTTGCCTCCGCGGAGCTCGGCTTCACAGGAAACATTGAGGAGGAGCCCAGAGTTGTTGAGTTTTGCCAGGGGGACCTCGAGAAGAAGCCTCGCGCAGACGTCTATGCTGAAGGTGGCCCTGTGAAGCGAGGAATACGCAGAGACGGCAACCTTTTCTATCGACCGCCGGGTTGGTCTGCTGAAGGTGTCCGCGGCGAGTCGGCTTGGGACACTGAGGTACGCTACTCTCAGTTCATCGATGAGCTCTTAGACGCGGCTGGAGAGGAGGATCCTGGACATCAAGAGCTCGTAGTGGCAATCTTCACCCACGGCATGTCGCTGAAAAGCTTCGTTCGCGGAGCCATTTCTGCCGCACCTTCTTTTTCTGTGACGGCCCAGATTGACAACACATCAATTACGGAGATGCGGTATGCGCCCCAAAAGATGGATGAGCTTGGAGGTTGGTCTCTGGTACGCTTCAACGATACCTCCCATCTGCGGGCAGACCGTGTTCAGCGTGACCACTAAGAAGACGGGGTGCGCCCTACATGCTGCGACGATACTGCCACGCGAGTTCAATCATGGTGCTTGCAAAAAAAATTAGCAGTAGAGTAGGTAACCTTTGGCCTATTTGGGCCTATTTGGGGTGCTATAGTCCCTGTATAACCAAAAACTCCTTAACCTTAAAGGTTAACCTTTCGTTCCCCTGGGATGCTTGGACACATAGGCAAGGAAGAGTACATTGGACCAGCCCTGCCCTTGGATAAACTACCTACCTTAAGCTTGAGGGTTTAGAGGGTATGACTGGTACTACTGACAAAGTGAGAGACGTGCCTGTTCGCTGTCTACTTGCCAAGAACTGGACCCATTGAGTCGGAGGATCTTCAGAATGATCATAGAGGGGAGCTCTCGAAGACACGTGCACTGATGCAGGCGTTCAAGGCAAATTTCCCTGGCTCACCAAGGGATCGCTCCCAAGCCGAGTGAGATTTTGAGACAGGTTGATTGTGATGCTGTAGCATCTGAGGTGCGCTGGCTTTCGGCGTCCTGTTCTTCTGCAAGCATTTAAGATAGGCTGCTGTTTGGAGAGCACGGTGCTTCTAGCGGACCGAACTTCAATCTTCGGTTGCTTTGCGTGCTAGGCAGAAGGGGAGACCACAGCCGAGCATTGCAGGTATGTGGGGCTGCTCGCAAGCTCCCTGTACTTTGTGGCAGCTCAAAAGAGGTTTGCGAAAAGGCCAGCGAAGAGAGCTATGCTCCTAGTGACTATGCCGCTATGCCATCAATCTCATGTTCTCATGACGGTCCACTGACAACGTGGCACGCGGCAGTCGACAACAGACACGACACACACACACACACGCACACACACACACACGCACACACATCGCAGCGCAAGAGTGCAAGCTTGCAACCCGACGTGGTTCTGGTAGCATGTTTTGTCGGCTGGCTCCCACCTGCTGTCCTGGAGTCCTGGCGCCAGGTTCGACGAAGAGAGCACGAGCATGAGCGACTTCTGCGTGCTGCTAAAGGGCCAACAACTTACTTTGGTATGGGCACACTTGCCGTTTTGGCCGAGGGCATTTGCACTGCAGTCAGAATTGCAGCATGTACAATCAGGCCTTCCGACGGACTTGACAGACGAGGCCGACGGAGCAACACCGACAAGGAAGGTTTAGATTCCTCTCGTAAGGGAGGTCGAGGCTTCACGCCCGGGCTACCAGCTGAAAAATGAGACCAGAAGAGTCGTTGTGAAGAGTTGTTGTGATTGGTTGAAGGTGGCTTTGAAGAAGTGGGCAGAAGCACAACTCGCACAGTGCCCTGGCAAGCACCCGTCCATTATGAGGGGTCAGCTTGAAGCCAGCTTTTTGCTGACTTAAAGCAGAAGCATCCCCAGTGTTCTGTTGACAGCTTTTGGCTGCATCCTCGCCTTCTCCTTGTTCGAGTGTCGCCGAGTAGCGTCTGCGAAGCCATGCAACAACCACCTCAAACCCTCCACTTTTGCGGACTTCCCTTGCAGCGCTGACCTTGGGAGGAGCAGGATCAACTTCGAGGTCCAAGGCGTAAGCACCTCGGCAGCCAAAGGTTCGATGCGGACAGAGACTCCCCACTCTGCAGCTACTGCAGCCCAGTGTGCTGCGTCAGAACTCTCCATTTCCTGACCTTGCCTTGCGCCGGCTGGAAGGTGTCAGCTTGTGTAAGGGAACCGCGTGAAGTTGGCGTAAAGCCTTAGGGTTGAACTGTTGAACTGAGTGAACAGAGCTTCGAGCCATAAGATGTGAAGTCCTTGCCAGGCATCGGCTACGACTTCGGAGGCTCGAAGACTCAAAACAGGGCTTCTGGCTTTGAGACTTTTCTTAGGAACAGGTGGTTTTCATATATATATATATATAATATATATATATATATAGTATATAGTATATATATAGTATATATACATATATATAATATAATATATATATATATATATAATATCATACATATATAAGATAACATATAAGAGAGCCGTCGGCAGCGTATTTTTGTGGCCGCTGCCTCGGAGCCACTGGCGAGGCGATGAGGCGCTGAAATGGGAGGTCTATGACATGCTCGACCGGTGGCCTTGCAGGGACTATGACTAAGAGAGACGAATACCTTGAGGGTGGTTCAGCCAATTTTTGAAGGATCCTTGTGAGCTCACGTGGCCTATATAAAGCGATAGCATGGCGAAGATCAGGTCGCGGGAGAGGGAGATGGAGCGAGACAGGGAGAGTTAAAAAGCAGAGGTGGCCATCAAAGGCTTACTCAAGGGAACGTAGGGGAACAGCCCATGAGTGGAGAGACTTGGAAGAAGCGGTCGAGCTACAGCTTCACGAGGGCCGTTTGGGGGACTCCTTATAGACATGCGTCCCAGTGCTCCTGAGGTTTTGCAGTGCAACAGAGATCGAGCTCATGCTGAAGGGTAAGACGGCGGATGCTCAAGAAATGGCATTCGCGAAGGTTCCCCCGGGGCTGTCTGGGCCTCGGCAGAGCTTGCGCTTTCGCATCGTCCCGCGAGGAAAGCTTGGGGAACCTGAAGGACGATGTGGCCAAAGATCGGAGCAAGGCAATCACACGCGCGCAGTCCTCTTTTCTCTGGGGCTGAGCGGTCGAACTTTTGAGGAGCCGAACAGCGAGTGTCAGCATGCATGTACTCGTACCTTCGCGCAAAGCTTTCCTGCAGTGTTTGTCGCGCCAGGGTGAGTGCTCCAGCAGTCCGGAAGTCTTGGAACGGGTTCAATGCACGAGGGCTGGAAACGTGGAATTCGCCCTGCGCAGGGAAGCGCGAAAGTCGGTAGCCATGTTCACCGCAACAGAGCACCCCTATGAGTCCCAATTCGAAAGCACTAACGCCAGGCTTGTCCCAGCTGAGTTTTTTCACTTCACGCTTCTTGAGGCCCAGGAATGGTTTGATGGGGAAAAGAAGCTCAAGGGCACCGGCCATGACCTCAGCTCTCAGAGCAGTCAGAGCACTCGTGTCGGCACAGGGGTGGCAGAAGAAGCGGCTCTTCTTCAAGGGTTCCTGAACCCTGTCGATGCCCAGAGTGACTACAGTGTAGTTTCCACGGCTCTAAAACAAGTCAGGAAAAGCTTTGCCCGGTTTGGGTAGTTGCACTACCGTTGGCAGGGGTCCCGCGGGCTTTGGACAAGGTTGAGGACAGTCCGGGTGTGCATGTGGCCTGCAGCTTCAACACTTACACTTCCAAGGGCGAATCTTCAACAGGTCAGCCCGGTAACTTTGTTTATGCAGGGCATGCCAGCAGCTCTTCGCAGAAGGTTACACAATGTGACAGGACATGTATGGGAAGTTTGCAATGCTATATCTTGAAAACACTAGACTAGAAGTTTGAAGATGATAGCCAAACAGTAAACTGTAGGTTCGTTGCATAGTCGCGCATACTAGCTAGTTTCAATGATAGTGCAGGTCTAAATTCACGACTGGTCTTTTTTTGGCAGTTTGCGATCTAATGGGATTGTTGAATCTAATTTGACCAGCTACAAGACATGTCTCAAAGCATAATATGGTAGTCGAGGCAGTTACCGGTCATCGAAACCACCTACAGCCATGAGCCACAAAACCGATAAGCCTGTTGCCTATAGTTGCACCACCTTAGAATAGGATTGCTTTCTTTCTGATAGAGTTTTGTGGAGCGTATTGTGCTTCAGTTGGGATGTAGTGGGCAACGATGGTACGACTACCCGTTCCCAACACAAGAAACATAAGCGCACGGCCCCCCTTGAACGGCTCTCTGTCCCTCTCTCTCGTTAATTGTGGTGCGGAGGCCAAGCTTTCTTGGTCATGACCAAGTCCACGGGCAAGGACCTGGGCTCTGACTCCAAGGGGGTCAAGTTTCCCTATCGTTCAGCTTCCCTGTAATTTCCCTGAAACCATCATGTGAAGTAGAGTCCGGGAAGGACCGGCTCCAACAGACGATCCCAAAATTGAGCTAAGAGGTCTAGGGTTCGGGCTTGGGGGCACAAAGATGCAACAGCTTGAGAAGTCTAAGCCTCCGCCAGAGCGAAAGGCAGACATGACCCACTGAAGGATGCCATCATGAAAGCCTATGAGGCCAAAGAGTCCCTCTTCACCTATCAGCAGAAGCAGATTCAGGTTGCGGCTGGGGTGTACCCTAAACCGTAGCCCGATACCCTTAAAGTCCAAACTGCAAAGAGCCTTTTTAAAACAGAAGCTTCTGTTCGCCAGGTTGCCGAGGTGAATTCCGAACCGCCGGATATCTGCTGGGAGAATCTGGGAATCGCTGATGAAGCCATCGCGAGCAACGAGTGGACCGCGGGCCGCGCAAATGGGGTTCATTGAGGGGTGATGCAGCTTTTGCTAGGCCATTCTGTCAACAAAGCATGGCTAGTGTTCCCAACGTTCTCACTTGCTTAGTTGTCAAGCTGAGCCACGGGCGCAGTGAACCGAGACTGAATATTCCATGTTGGCGCCTAGATGAATTTTGCGCCTGAAGGAAAGCAGTGGGACAGGCACGACACCAGGGCAGAGTTTGATGGGAATTCTGATCGAGCCTCCCGAATCGGGACGACCTTGAATTTCGACGACACGGTGTAGCAGCGTGCATCGTCTTGTATGTCAAGACAGGCAAGCGCATCCCAGTTACCTGCTGTGGCCCCCGAAGCCCGAGGTCCTACCCAGAACCGGGTGGTCGTCGCCCGATTGTTCTTACTGTATGCCGTTGCTTGCCCAAAGGGGGAAGCTTTCGTGCGTGCGGGTTTCTGCTAAGGATACCACAAAGGGACACAAAATCGAACAGGATTTTGCGCGCTAGCCTTTGTGGCATGCTGCTTCGTGCGAATGCACAACATGCAAAAACCAGATGCAGGTGCTGCAAATGTTCATTTTTATCAACGTCTTGACGATGGGGTTCAACCTGCTGCTCGGTTCAGAAAGGGCAGTGGACATTTTTGCGTGCAGAGGATCTTCGGTGCAACGGGTCCGGGCTGGCGAGTGCGCATTGAAAAGGGTCTGCGCGGCTAAACGGAAGAGCAGGGGTTGTGCAGAGGCTATACCAGTAGACTTTTCCAGAAATTCCTTGTGATCCTCTTCGGGAGCTGCGGTGCTTGCATGTTCGAACCGAGGCCTTGGCTTTACTCATAGCTGCCCTGTCCTGCGCATGAAAGCATCTTAAACAGCAGCTCGGCTGAGGTATGTGGTCATGCCCTACTTGGCAGCGGGCAGCAATGCTAGTGGGCCGCTCATGACGCCAAGCCGACATAGCGCACGCTCCATGTTGAAGTTGTGTGCAAGCTATGCGCTCTTTGAAGAGCATATTCGTGCAATTGATGGTTCCAGCTTCGGACGAATTTACATCCTGACTGCTTTTGTATCCAGGACGGTCAATGGCATCATCATGGGCATCATCAACGGTCAGTTGGGTGGTGGCTCGTTTGACGAGGGTTCAAGTCGGACATGCGTCCACTTATCCGCCAGCTGACGATTTGGGGCCTAGCGTAAGTTGTGATGCTTCGTGGCTGCTTGCCGTAAAAGGATTTGTTCTCAATTCCGCCAGGTGCAAAATCCCACACACAGACTTTTTTCATGCACAAGCTGCTGCTGCGCACCATCTTCCCCTGGTCCATAGGTCATAGCTAGAGGTCTGACTTGAAGGTATTGTGGCCGGACACATCGCAGGAGTGGGCTTGGTGAATCGGGCACGAACGGAGAGACCTGCTGTTTCGGCTGGGAGCTATCTCTAGGCTCTGGTTCGAGTCTTCGCCAGAGGGCGGTGCCTGTCCGGACAGAAGTTGAAGCCCGAGCTCTAGCATCAAAAGCAGCCTGCAGCTTCAAGCGACCGTGAAGCTGGAAATGGCAATCGAGCGATGAAGGTAAAGTCTGGAATTCTGCGTGGGGAGTGGGATACCATCGCAAGGCCTGCCGCACCCAGGGTTGTAACTGGTCAGATCGTTTCTGGTTTATGCTCCTTCAGTTTCTCTTGCGTTGATGTCGATGGCCTGCGTCCAAAGACTTCTTGCCCTGTGCTGCCGACCGTAAGTGCAAGCGGGCAAGAGAAACTACAGCCCGGAGAGTTTGTTCCTTGCAGGATAGAGCCGATGTCTGGCTCTTCAATGTGAATTTCGCCATTACCCTTTGCACCTCGGCCGATATCCGGCATGGCAAGATAGAAGAAAGGGCTTCATTCAGGACATGTGGAGACTCGCATAAAAGGCTTCATGCAGGTTTCATGTCGTTTCCAAGTTGTTCTTATCATCAATATGAAAAGGATCATGCGTCTTTCTTCAGAGAATTTATGTTTGAGTGTTCCCTCTCTGCCCTGCTACGATGGGTACTGTCATGCTGCGTTGTGGCAGCTGGCTCGGCTGAGGTCGGCTGCACAGCTGTTGTGGAATTTGCCTCTTGCTAACCCCGTCTCGTGTGTGTGTGTGTGTAGGTAGGTAGGTAGCTTGGCGCCTGCAGGCAACACGTTCATCAGCTTGTTCATGACCATCTATGCAGTGAATCCTGGATGAACTCAGGGCTGTACGTACCATCATTTCGCTGGTTAGGATGCTGCTGCATCTTGCCTCCCATCCATCCAGTGATGCTGATTTGTCTGCTCCAGGATAGCGACGGATCCGGACCGGGCCTTTCCATTTCGGAACACCAGCCTGAACCCACCTGGGTGCAAAACCTCTCTCTCTCTTTCTCTATCTATCTCCCCCTCTTGGGTGTGGCCGCCTACGATGTATCGGACAGACGGGGAACGGAGGGTGGAGTCGTCACCGTGGGTTCCTGCTACGATGTACCTGCCGAGAGGCATGGCGGAGTGAACACTTGGGCGTTTTCTGTCCGGCAGTTCACGCCGAAAGCCTTCGCAGGAGGTGGCCGCAGAGGGTGTCGGGATGTTCTTCAAAGAGTTGTCGAGCCTTGGCTTCCACAATTCGGTCCAGTGGGGCTTCGGCTTGGATTCGTGTGCAGCTTCTGGCGCAGCACAGCGGATGAACCCCGGGCAGATCGTCTGCCTTGCAAGTGTCTCCCTCCAAGACTTGCTGTGCCACATCAGGACTACGACCGTTGGTCTGGAGTCCACGGTCGGACACACCTTGCATCTTGGCGGTGAGGAGAACTCCTGGAGCTGAGAAGCGAACCGGGGGGGGGAGCCTAGGTTCATGATGCTGATTCCTGGCCAGCTTTTTGTGAACCCCTTGAGCCTTGGCCAGAAAATTGGCCCGGAAAATCGCGGGGCAGCACCCTGCCATGCTTTTTTGCTGCAGGATGGGTTACCTCCAGGGGAACATTGTTCCTTTCCTGCAAGCCAACCTCGTCGCCAAGGCAGCGCAAGCCTACTAGACAAGCTGGGTGTTTACCGGGCCGAAAGGCACTGTTCCTCTTCCGGGTGTCTAGACTCAGGCAACAGGAAACTTGCAGATAGGAGTTTTTTGCAGGCCCGAACCACAGCCCCCTCTCGGAGACGTGCGGGCAATTTCCACCGGCCCAAGATGCTCCAAAGTCGAAATCCTGGCCGCAGATTGTCTACGTCTGGAAATGCTTGCCAGAGAAGCTCTTGTTCCTTCTCAAGGCCGAGTGCTTGTCCACATTGCAAACGGTTACAATGGGTTTCGGGTTTCAGGGTTTGGGGCTTCCGGGTCGCGAGGTTCAGGGTGGGAAATGCGGGTTGCTTCAGAGGAGCTGGCTCAAATAATTGTTTGACCAGTGTGAAGAGGTCATGCCGGGTCAAGTTGCAAGGCGCCGGCTGCTCGATCTGCCGTCCTTTTTCCATCGTAGGCTCGTCCCAGCAGGGCCTCACACCGCAAAAACCAAGTCGAACCCCAAAGTTTCAGCGAAGTGAACCCCAAACTCCTAAGGCCCTAAGGCCTATGCCTTGCGAGTGAGTCGACGCCCTAACAACTGTCGTGTCTCGAGAGCGTAGACCCAAAGCCCTAAACACTCTCGACCTGTGATGGCAATATCGATCATGACTGGAGTGAGCTTGGATTGTGTGGAGCCTTGCCTGCCTTGCACGGGTGTGAGAGTCAAAACACTCTCGACCCCCGTTTCATGTGATCGCCTGTAGTGAATGCCCTGAAGTCCTGAACTAGGCATCTGATTTCATTCAGGACGTTGGGTCAAGGGAGGATTACGCACGATCGCTTGGCGGGTTGCCTCGGTTAGGGGATCTTGTTCTGGGGTTAGTCCTCCCTCTCTTCAGTTAATCTCACCTTGCCGACTCAAGACCATATGCCTCGCCTGAGTGCGAGCGCCGAAACACGCCTGAAATGGTCCCTAAATGGAGGCGCTCTTACCGTGGTCACCGGACAACGTGGACAAGATGCTCGGCTCGGGCTTAGAAAGGGGCTCATTTCCCAAGTCAAGGGTTGTCTAAGGGTTTTTTGCGAAGACTCGCAGCAAAGTGTGTTTAAAGGGGCTTATGTGGAGTTCAAGGTTTGGCAAGATGCTCGGACTCCACAGTCATTTTTGAGCGCTTCGCCTCCCCAAAAGCTCTGGCTACCGAAGGTATGAGCGAAGAAATGCAGAGAACGGCATGGTCGCCGGGCAGATGCTTGGCACGCAGAAGCTGTGACTCGCTTCTGCTTCAGCATTGGTCGCAGATGTCGGAGAGCTGAAATCTGCCCCTGGTGTGGTGGAGACGTCGCGTAGACGAGAAAATTGCTGGCATGGTCAGGGCCGCTTCTCGGCGAGGACAGCGAGGCATCTGCTAGCCCAGGCATTCGCGACAAGACCTCCTACTGTTTTGAGCAATAGAACATTTTAAAACACAGAAGATGCAAACTCTTTCCACCTTGGATGTGCCTTCCAATCGCTTGTTCCCCCCATGGTGACCATAGTGCATGGACTTGCGGACCAAGGATAGGTTTGCCATGGGACTACAGCAACCTGATACTGAATCCCTTGTCGCCTGGAGCTCAGCGTCTCGTTCTTGCACAGAAAGTTCGAGTTCGAGCCTTTCGTGTCCCTCTCTCAGGGTCTTCTTCACCTTCTTCTTCGTTTCAACAAACAGCCGCAGCCTCAAAGCTTCATCAACAACGCACTTGAAGATGCCAGCATCTGGCTGCAGCGCTGCTTTAACCGAGGTTCGACCGAGAGCTCCTGACTCAGCATCGAAAACCCTTTAGACAGCTTCTGAAGTCTGTCTGAGTCTGTGGAACTGTGAGTATTTCGCACTTAAGATGCAGGTATCTGTTGAGCATGAGAATTTGTCATTGTCTGTTCCGGTTGCAGACTCTCGCGAAGTGCTACAGGCATACCAGTATCTCGTGCCGGGGGTACTCTGCGTCTTGCTGTGGCGACGTAGCGCGGCACGTGTTGTGTGAAGCTGTACGCAAGGCACAGGCAGTTTGTTGGGCCGCTGAGTGCCGAACGAGCGAGATCAACAACTGATCAACCTCTCATGGTCATCAACAGACTACTAAGGGTGCCAGCTGCTGGTGAAGTCCAAGATCAGAATCAGCTTGACAGTGACCATCATGACAACAGCTAGGGGCCGGCATGAGTTTGCCGCCCAAAGGGGGGAGCAAGGGAAGCAGCAGATCAGCAGCACCAAGAGCGGGAGTAGAAGAATAAGCATCTCAAGGGAAGAACATCGTCAGGGGCAGCAAGACAGCTGGGTACTGTAGCTGTAGATATAGACGGCCGTCATCAGGACATTTGTCACATCACCTGTATACCGTATCATATGTCTTGCTGCAGTGCAAAAACCCAACTAGGAGGCCCCAAGCCCCAAGCCGTACCGTTTCTTGGTTTATGGACCGGCGTGGTCAATCGGTTCGGTGCTTCGTTTGTCACTTTCATTGGAGCTTGGAGCATCTGGAGTTGCTTGAAACATACAGATTATATACGTGATGGACGAGATGACGGGGAAGCAGGGGAAATAAGAGAAACACAAAGTCGGTGCGGCACCACGCAGCCTCTCGAACCGAAAGCTCACACGGCGAGGTGCGTACCTGGTGGCCTGGGCGGTGTTCTTCTTCATGTACAGCCGCTTCATGCACCTTCGGGTACAATCAGCCGATCCAGCTCGTCGTCTTGCTTTAGCTTCGGGCCTGTTGTGCTGGGCATCGGACATGTGGAGAGCTTTGCCTGCCGATCCATCGATCCGTCTGCAAATCTGTATCAAATTATTCGGGAGTAAGTACGTAAGTAAGTATGTAAGTATGTATGTATGTATGTATGTAGGTAGGTATGTATGTATGTATGTTAATGTTAATGTTTGCATGCATGCATGCATGCATGCATGCGTAGATGGATGGATGTATGTATGCATGTATATGTATATATGTATGTGTATGTGTATGCATGTGTGTATGTATATGCATATGTATGTATATGTATATGTATATGTATATGTATATGTATATGTGCATCTCCATGTGCATGTGTATGTGTATGTGTATGTACGTACGTACGTACGTACGTACGTACGTATGTATGTATGTATGTATGCAGGTATGTGTATGTGTACGTATGTATACAGGTACGTAGGCAGGTAGGTAGGTGGGTTTGCATGTACACATGTCAATGTATGTATGCACTCACGTACGCACACGCACACTCACCCGCGCATACACACCCACACACCCCACCAACTCCGCCACCGTCGCCGCCGCCGCCACCACCAGCACAAGCAGCGGCAACAGCAACCACACCAACAGACAGCAACATCAACAGCACCAGCACCAACACCAACATGCGCACACATGCACACACACTGCAATCTGACATGCAGCCGTTCACCGCCAGGTTGCCTTCCACAGCACCCACAAGTTGGACAGAAGCGTGTGGGGGACCCAGCAAAACGATCAAGCTATGAGCCGATGCCATGTTTTGTTCGGAGCACATTGCCGTCACAACCACACGGGTCTCCTTCCCTCGGCTTCGGTCGATGCAGGCAGCTCCGGTTCGGACTGGTTCAATTTTTGAGAATGTCAAAGCCCTTGCTTGATTCAGATCGCTCTGTGTAGAGAGGCGATGAAGGTGCAATCCACTATGTATCCAAAGTCGCTGGAAATGACTCCAACATATTCTGATAATTAGCATGATATCCACATATGCGCAGATACATCTTACGTGCTTTACATAGGTTCGCATGTGCTGGCTGTGCCACGGCCAAGGTGGATGGTCTGGGGGTGTGTGCCCCTAGCACTAATCGGCACCTGCGCCATGACCTGGGTTTTTCGTGCAGGCCGGGGAACTGTCTGCTCAAACAACGCGGTTTTATTAGGATTGTTACGAACCGGCTTTTGTACCGGGCCCGCTCATGGGGTCCTCCGACCATGAAGTCATGCAGACCATTCCACGAGACGGGCAGCCTCATTGTGCAGCTCGTTGATGAGAGAGGCGTGGCGGATCTGCGCAGATCTGCACACGCAGACAAGAGGGACACTAGCCAAAACTTCCCAATACTATCCGACACTCCGAACAGAAACACGGTTCTATTGCTGCATGCTGTAGCCGATATAGCACGAGATCTAAGTGGACGAGCGACGCGCGAGGCCTCGTGCTCAGGGGCGCCCCGCTGTGGCAGAAGGTCCTCCTCATGCTGGTCACTTACGTGCGGGCCTCTCCTTGCTCTCGGCCACCTTGAGCAGCCATAAACAAGGTAACTGCACTCATAAATATTTGTGTAGTTAAGTGGATAAAACCCTAATAAGGGTACTGGTAGCACCTTAATTATAAGGTAGTTGTAATATGTATTACTAAGTCCCATGAACCTCCAACAGAATTGGAGCCGTGACTCCCAGGCTCTGAGCTGCTTGGTCTGGGCCGGGGACCCCGTTGCACTGGGACTGGGTCTGTGGGTCTCCACTGTCGGTTGAGATGCCCAAGAGATCTTCTGCTTTTCTCCAGGGTGCTCCGGTGCCCGACACCTGATCTAATCCTCATGCCTTGAGCTGCCTCATGCTGGCTCCGTGGCACCAAGAAGCAGCAAGTGCGTGCCATGAGACGTTTGAAAGACCATTCAACTGCATCGGAAATCGAGGCCTGTTGGCGCCTAGACTGGACAAGCTCCATGCTGTCGCGACAGGTCCTCTCCCTCCGGGCGCTGTACCCCTTGCTCAAGGAGGACAGCCCGGACGTCATTGAAGGCCGCCAGTCTGAAGCGAAGCGCAGTGTTCTCCAGACCTTTAAGTCAGGAGAGGCCACCCAGAAAAATTCTCAGACCTTCGGCCGGGAACAGAAAGTCCCCATGCGGCGGAAATGTCGTGTCGTCCCCATACGCGGAGACGCATGGCCTGTACTGCACGGGAAGTGCCTGAAATAAACACGGAGACGGGTAGAGCTAAAAATCGCAATCGCCGGTCCATCCCGCCATCCCTGAGCTGTCTGAGGTGACTTTAAAGACTGCAAGCGGGAGTGGATCTTTTCATGGTTCAACTGCAACCCGGTCTTTACACTGCCACTCGTCTTGAACCCGTCAGTTCGGGCTCGAAGGCCCCCCAGCTTAGGCCTTGTCAATGCCTCGGAGTCCGAGCGGCTGCAGTTGCTTCATACCAATAATAACAATAATTTTAATAATTCTAATACTAATACTGATACTAATAATAATAGTAATAATGATAATAGTAATAGTATTAATAATTATTATTATCATGATAACAATCATAGTAATATTCATCTTGCAATGCTCAAGCTCAGCTCAGGAAGTGCCTGTACTATCTCCCCAAGTTTCTTCAGGATGCTGAATTGGGCAAGGCAGGCTTGCCAGCTTCGTCAAAGAGGTTGATGCAGCACGGTGGGCAGAATTTTCGCAAACTCTCTCAGGGAATCAGGCAGTATTAAATTCAGCTTGGCAGGTGAAGGAGAAACTCCTCAAGAAGAAAGATATCTGGGGCCATCCAATTGCTTGTGGCGATGACGAGGACGTCGTGAGGTATTTCAAGCGCGGTTCTCAGACGGCGTTGATGCACGGGCCAATTTTTTGCCACTCCGGCGCTCCCAGCTGGCGGATCAGAAATTCGGAAATGATGCCTACCGACATAGGAGCAGAGATTCATGAAGCGACAGGGTCTCGGCAACTGGAAAGCCTCAAAGCTAGCCTTAATAAAGTGTGCATGGCAGTAGAACACTTCTTTGTCACCCGTAGGAATCTGCGATAGACGTGAAGACTTCCTAAGACTGTTCCATTTGCTACTGAACAACTTTAGCAAATCAGGGGTCGCAGATGTTTGATTGAGTGAGCTGTATAGTACTATAGTATATTATCTTCGCTAATGTTGGCTCGGCCTATCTTATCTTATTATCTTTTACTGCATTTGTATGGTAAAACATGTGTTTGCTTATCTTATTAATTTTAGGTAACATTAGATTGTATCATCATATGAAAATTATGTTTCAGTATTTTATAGTATATCCTATATCATATTATTCAAGCTTGTACAATATGATGGAATGTTATATTATGTTATATTGTATTCTCTTGTAGTAAAGTATATTCTATCCTAGTATAGTACGTTGTATTGTCGTATATTGCATAAGATTTTGAACTGCTCTGGGCAGGCCTGGCAAAGAGTTCTTGCACTTCTCGCCGGAGAAGCAAAAGAGTATCCGCGACAGCTGGCATGATGTGAGCTGCAGTTTTATAGTCTCTTTAGACAGTATTACGGGAACGAGGGCTTTCTGAACGAGTGACACAGGATTCAAGACAAGGATCATGTAAAGCCAGCCATGCCGTCGTGGAGTTATTCGTAACATTGACGTTAGCCCATGCATGTGTTGCACGTTTTGTGCGGGGCGGTCTCAGGGAACAGGCTGGGCGGTGCCATCAGTCTCAGCGGTGAGGTTCGGAAGGGTCAACTTCTGAACCGTTCGCTAATTCGAGATCTCGCTTCGAAGTGGATTGAAGGGCGGGCCAGAATGTATGTCAGAATGAGACAAGATGCTTTGCCGTGTATCTCGCGAGTCCGTTGCGCAGTCTTGTGTACTAGTGCCTAACGGACCTAGCGGCAGAGTGCTGATTGCAAGGAGGGAGACTTCCAAGATTGGTTGGAGTTCGAGACGTACTTAGCCGATGCCTTAGACCTGTTGTCATGGAGTTTGGAGGTCGCAAAGGATCTGAGAAGGCGTGCAAAGCTTATGAGATGTTATGTTTTGCGGACACCGTGCAGTGCGTAATATTATTCACTTCGCCATATTAAGAAAGGCCCCTTTCCACCCCCCCACAAGGATGTTAAGAGTCTGGATCCAGCATCAGAGGCACTCATCAGTGTCATGAGTCTAGCTTAGTGCTAGCAGCCCTGCTTGGAGGCCCGGAGAACCCGAGGAGCCTTAAACTTTTTTCAGCTCCTTTGAGGCTTTCATTTGTATAAGCAAGATTCTGGTTACACTTTTGTCTGCTCCGGCCGTTTGGATTCTGCAAACACGGGGCGGGGGTTCTAATTACGTTCTTGGAATTGGGTGTTGCAATTGCACGGGGGATTCGAAATATGAAGTTGACATTACGACTACCATGTTGCCATCCAAGCCTTCCAGTTCTGGTGGTTTCTTAACATTCGGTCTGAGACTCCCAGATCTAACTTGGCCCATCAGGCACACATCAACCGCTTCGCAGAGCAAGTCCGACAAAACAAGGTGAATTCCGGTGGCTTGCCTGCAGATAGTGTCATTCTTTGGTTTGGGGGTTCTGTTTTTGGCCAAGTGCAATGCCTTTTTGCCGAATCTCTGCAGACACGTGCTGCGGCACGCTAAGTCATGCTGTCTGCAAAAAGGAGATTTCTACGAGAAGCTCGAGGATTTTTTGCCCAACTTTGACGACGCCTTCTGATCTGCTCCTTGACCGGCGGTCCTATGCAGACGCTCGCAAATGGCAGCTAGCAGCTGCTAGCACAGCTTGAGTTGCTTTAATCCGATAGTCGTAGTAGGTATGTCGCAGCCACTGACGAAGCTCGATGGCTGGACTCGTCACGGGGATCGCTTGTTAGAACGTGCACATTCATACCTGGCATACCTGGGCATTACAGGCTGCTTTAGACATTTGGGGAACGCGGAGATTCTGTACCCTGCCGACACGCGTATGACTTTCAGCCATATAATTGCGCGATTACATTTTCCGTGGTCACACCGCGCCGGCTTCTGTTGATTGAAGCCCTCGTAACTGTGTATGTTCTTTGTTGCCGGCGCGCCATGGTACACAGCTCCATGGTGGCACCAAAGGGTGTCTGGAGCTTGAGGAGTCGACAGCTAGGCTGTCTTGCTCCCTGCATTTCTCTGCTCTGTTAGCCACTGTTAGCTCGATAGCAAACCCCACAAAGTGCTCCAAAAAGTTGGAAAACGGATTAAGGACAATTATTGCTTGAATTCCCTCTACATACCTCTTAAGGATCGAGGCTATTGGGCGCCCAACTTTTTGGGCTTCTACTGTAAATGCACTGCTCACTGGGCAGGCAAGTCAACGCCATTGTCGCAAAAAGAAGATCATGAGTGTTTTGGAATCGGTTGCTCCAGATCTTTTTGCAGTTTTACGGGGTATGGAGGGTTTAGGGCTTAAAGGTTTAGGGTTTAGGGGTCTCTGACTATGGGGTATGGAGGAAACCCTCCTCGGCCTTTCAGAGAGTCACCGAGTTTTCATGGGGCTTCGGCTCTTTGCGCTCCTGGGCTCAGAGTGGGAGCCGAAGTAGCCGGTCAGAGTCTGAGTCATGTCCAGAAAAGCCTTCAACTCGTCACCTGGGTTCTTGTTAATGGATTTTGAAACTAAATTACCATAATAGGGATCTATGGTAAATAATATAAATAATATGGTTTCCTTATTATGGTAATATAAAGTAAATCCTTTGACACGAACCCAGTCACTAGTCATGTTCCTACGTAAAGCCGCAAGAGGCTAACGCAGGTGACCGCGACACAAGCGGCCCCGCAATGAAATGTTCAAGAAGCTCCCCCAAGCCTTACTTCCGAGCGATCTCATTCCACTGCACGAGCACATCAAGAAGTGCTTTTGCCCAAATTACAGTGCAGAGGCCAGCGTGCGCCCTGGGTCTTTCCCGAAGCACTTCTTTAGAGAATCTGCTCACATGAAAAATCCTTCGCACTTGAACTGCGACTGTTCCCGGCGCATTCAACAGATGGGAGAGCTGCTTGCAGAGCCTTGTTGAGGCCGGGGGCTTTGACGTTTTCGAGCATTGCCAGAAAGTTCAGGATGCAGATGGGCTGTTGTCCGAATCATCCTCCAGACCTCCGCAGAAGTTGCAGATCATCTTGAAAGCTGGGTTTTTTCAGGATGACAGCAAAAAAGGCTCGGCTAGAGGCATTTTGGGCTGTGTCCTACCCACCGGAAAGTCTTCATTTTTGAATTGAGCCTCAGGACACGTGCCAACGTGCCCCACAAAGCCAAATTCGAATCGCACCGAAGTTAACACCCCAAAAGATTCCCAAAGATAGCTCTGAAGCCTATCTACAACCTTGTAGGAGTTCGGGGAATGTCCTCAACACCTATTTCTTGTCGTGCTACTGCTTGTCTGCTCCGTGGTTGTGCAAAGTCTACAGTGGAGGGCTTTCGATATACTCAAGTTATCACAGTACCGAGTACGCGACACTTCGTTCTGTTGGCCTTGGGGTTACAAAAGCCCAGATGTTGGAGACGAGTGGGGAAGATCGTCGCTGCGGTGTTATAATGTGGTTGAGTCTGTCTATCCAACTCGATCAAGGGCCGCCCGACATAGGGTAGTGCAGTAGGGTATAGGACAGTGTAGTATTTTGCTTTTGCCATACAGTACAATATTAGATAAAAAAAAAGTGTACGTCGCTGTACTCCACTACTAGACAAGACTAGATTAAGCTAGACTAACTATAACTTTACTACAGACTAAAGCACACTTCTACGATACTAGCTGCAATTTGAGGAGGATCTGTACCTCATGGTGTTGCCTCTCTGGCAGTATAGTACCGCTTACGCTTTATGTATCGCATGCCAGAGCTGTCGCATTGTGTTGTGAAGCTGCCTCCACCTGCAACCGAAAATCTGGACCCCGGTAATTATTATTGTTGTACTGCAAAATTGCCGCGGAATATCGGGATAGTACTGCAAAGCACTGCCAAGCTTAAGGCTGGGAACAATACTATGCTCTTGTCGTGATTGCTGTGTCCCTAACTTGGGAAGAAAGCAGAAACTTCCCGCACTAACTCACCGTGGCTCCCAGCAGAAAGGGCTTCGCTGGCAGGGCCTCTTGTCTAGGCCCAAGCCAAGGGATTTCATTTTGCCCATGGAGTGTTCGGACTCTGACATGGAGGACGAGAAGCTTCGCTACAGGCGGAAGCTTCTGGTCCCCATTGTGTTTATCACGTATGTGATCACGAAAGCCTTGGATCGGATTTTCATATACCGAGTGCAGAAGTCCATGGCCCACTACAGCACGATCCTCATGAGCATTTACTGGCCTCCGGGCATTTGCTTGGCATGCTTTTGCTTTCTCTTTCTCCTGAACGGAGCGAAGAGCCTCCTCGGAATGACGGGGAGAGATGAGAAGCGAGCGTTTCAGCCACTGGGACTCGGGTGGTTCTCGCCCGTCAGCGACTTTGCTTCAGCGCAGGGTCGCGTGCCGCAGCAGTGGTTTGCCCTGATCGGCTTTTTGGATCAGATCAACGCCACCTTTTCGGCGCCCCCGTCAGTATACATCCCAGTGGTCTTGCAGACGCCGCTGAATAATCTAGTGGTTGGTTGGGTGATGCTTATTTCCCTCGTCTATCTGAAGATGTCATTCAGGGCGGTCCACTACGCGGGGGTGGCTCTGATTTTGTGCTCTTGCATCGTTGGTGAGCTGGTTGAGCTACAGGGGCCACCCGATCTGGTTTGTGATGGCCTTGACACTGCCAGAGGGATTTTCGAAGATGAAAGCTTGCCAATCCCGCAGAAAGCAAGATGGACCGTTGGCAATGCTACTGAAAAGTGCGTGCGAGGTTTGCCCCCATATAAGGGTGCCGATGGGCGAACGATTTATGTGCCTTTTGGCACCGTAGCCTCGATGTATTTGCTCTTCATTGGCACCGTGATTCCCTATGCCTTCGTGTACGTGTACAAGCACAAGAAGCTAAAGCAAGTGAACTTGGATGTGGCCTGGGCCTTTTTCTGGCAGAGTGCTTGGCAGGTTCTCTGGGGCCTGTTGTTCATCCCGGCATGCTGGATCCCGTGGCCCACGCCCAGTGGCCGCAACGAGGCCTCCTTCTCCACCTTCGGCAAGGACCTTGCCGATTCCTGGACGTGCTTCATGGGCCAGAACCCGAATCCAAACATCACTTCCTGCTCTGCGGAGCCCGCCTGGGCCTGGTTTAGCATCTACCTGCTCTTCAATGTCTTCTTCAACCTTTGCCTCATGTGGCTCATCAAGCGCATGTCCAGCACTTGGGCCGCCGTCGGTGCCATCCTTTGTGGGAACCTCGGTGGCTTCTTCAGCCAATTTGAGGTCTTCGGCGGCAAGTCAGCGCAACCGCTCTCCATGGAGCAGTGGATGGCGCTCATCCTGTCTTCAATCGCCATGTGGGTCTACAACATCGAGGACAGCCGCCCGGATCTTCGCGTCAGCTGTGTAGCGATGTGGTGCCATTGCTAGGCATGCTACTGGTAATAGTCCACCAGTATTACCACCCTCCCCAAAAATGCTGGGCCACGGTTTCGTGGTCGGGGGGTTTGCAATTGAGTTGCGGGCATGGGTTTGTTGTGAAAGGAGGAACCTTAGTCTGGGAGCATGCCAGAGCCGATGAGCACGTCGTGGCAATAGGTTTCTGCATGATGCAATTAGGCCCTGTAATGCCACGTATCAGATCGGTATTGCTACATCCTTGGACTGTGCTCGTCCTGTGGCCTTTTCCTTCGCGCTTGTGGATTCCTCTTCCTTCGTGTTTGCCTTGGCAGTTTCCATTGCGCAGCGTGAGCAACCCAACATGTAGTGAACCCCTTGTGACAGTTGAATCTCTTCGTTTTTTGGCAGTCTCTCCGGCTGTTTGCTTTCACTCTGTCGCTGGGCGTACATTGATTCCCCATGCTCTCACTTCCTGTCCCAGTCTTTTGTCAACTGCTGGGAAAAGGTTGCTTGACCCATTCATTCGCCGGGCCGGGTGAGGGGACGGCTTGATGCTCGAGTATTTCGCATTGCTCACTCTGTGTGCTTGCATGAGTGTGCTCGCACGAATCATTGACTCAGTGTCGCGGCAATTTGCCACCTCCTCCTGCTCTATGTGCTTAGAAGCTTAACTAGTGGGGGGGGTGTCCGATTTACAGTTTGGGTCGGTGACTTCAAGCTGTTGTCAGCTCTTTCGTCCTGCGGACTCCACGTTGATGTCTCCTCATGCTCGCAACGAGGAGGAAGTCGATGTGACTGGCCGATCTGTCTACAGAGAAATGACGCTGGGCGACCACCGCTACGATACAAGAGGAGACATGGGCCTCGACCCTGACTCGGACGGATTCCAGTCCGACGGCGAGCCCACGGCGGAGGACCACACGACACTATGAGAGTCCGAGAGATGCCACCGTCGTTTCTTCATCTGAGGGGTGGCTCTGATTGCTTGCATTGTAGCAGTATGCCGGTCTGCCACTGCGGGTAAAACGTTGCCCGCTCATACTGCTGCTACTACCACTATCGTTTGGAGTTATTGCCATTGCTATTTCTGCGCTACTACTACTACTACTACTCCTCCTGCTGCTGCTGCTGCTGCCGCCGCTATGTCTCCCTTGTCAACATGGCCTGCGCGGGCTCCGGCACTTGACCAGGTCGCGACACCGGTTGGCTGGCAGATCGCCGGCGGCTGATGCCTGGGTTGGGGGCTTGACCAGGGTGCTTAGGTCCTAAGGTTAGGGTTTAGGGCTTAAAGCTTAGGTCCTAATTAAGGTTAGCGGTTAGTTCCACAGCATTGGTACTCATTGTTTTTGTTGGAGCTGGTGTGTCTCACGCATGTCAGTTGCGAATTGTTGTGGAAACCCATGGCTGGAGGGTGCCGTGCCAAGCCGGGTGAGCCATGCAGGCCGGCCAGCGAGGAGTCAGTTTTGAGCAGGTCCGAAACTCAAGAGCTGTTGAACTCCCAGCGCCCACTTTTTGTTGCTACTGTGTTCTGGTATTTTGTGTTAGTTGGTCCTTCGGTGTCGTGCTCCTTCGCTCTTGTGGTCTCACTGCCCTCTAGTTTCGCGGACTTGCTGTCCTTTGAAGCCGTTGTCGCCTGTTCTAGTGGACCCATCGTCATCGCCGTCGTCGTCATCATCATGTGATTATCGTCGCCATCGTCATCACATATCGTCACCAATGCCATTATCCTACAGGCTCTTGTTGCTTAGTTATGAAACGGTTCTGGGAATACTACTCAACATTATTTTCGTCTACTTCTTACTACACGCATGTTCACGATCGGGAGTTTTTTGTATTCTGGGTCTGAGGCTTTGCTTTAGTTTTCGGCGTTATCGTGTTAGAATTCCGAGATCTTTGATACCCACTAAAATTATGAATTATGAGCACTGTCATTGACATTGTTGTACTTATTGTGCCGGGCGAGGCATGTATTCACAGAGCAGCTCTACATCCAGATTATATCTAGACCTATCTCCTCAGACATACCAAGGCATGTATGAACTAGATATCTGCATGCCCGTGTCTCCATCAACATTCATGTCTATGTCTAAACGTTGTTGTATACTTGTACCTGTACATGTACGCATGTTCTATACTTATGTCGGCTTATGTAGACGCGTACGCACAGACATATACCTCTTTGTGAATTGCTTCAACGATGATGACGGTGGTGGTGATGGTGATGTTGAAGATCATGATGGCGATGATGCTGATGGTGATGGTGATGCTGATGATGATGCTGGTGATGGTTATGGTGATGATAATGATGATCCTTGGCAGTTTGGTGTTTGTGGCGTTTGCGATGTGGATCATTACTATCTTGACTATGCACACTATACTTACAGCTGCTATGTGGTCTTCGTACTTTGGCTCGTTCTTGCATTCATTCACTCATGGGTTCAGTCATTCATGAATGTATCGGCTCCTCCGAAACCAGACCAAGCCGCCACCTCCCCGACCCCGACCTCGCCCCAACCCTCACAGAAGCCCAGGCATAGCTTAAGCCGACGTACGTACATGTTGATATACAGTCTCTGCTAAGTGTTATCTTCCTGGCGATTATGCCAGTGACGACCATCATCCCCGTCAGATGATCTCCACTACTGTTGCAACAAGTATTCCTTTCGCTTGCGCTCATTCGTTCTATCATCCAGTCATGCAGTCATCCAGAGCTCCATTCATTGATTCATGCATTCACTCATGCATTCATTCATTCAGTCCGGCTCAGTCCACTCCACCCCTTCACTCCGCTCCATCCATCTATCCCTTATTCATTGATTGCGTATACACAATGCGTTGAAGCAATACAGAGCGAGTACCGCTAGTTTAACCACAAATGGCAGTGTTTCCTAAACCAGGTCAAGCAAGATTTCCTTCTGCACACACTCACTGTGCTGTGTTAATGCGGCATCCTGCAAAAGAGGAACAGCGAGGAGCATCCAACCGTCTGGGTGGGACTGGAGAACCATGTTTGCAGAAGTAGGGCATGCGCACAGCCCCACCTCCGTCCTCGCAGAAGGTGCAGTACTTGCAGGGATCGCAACTTTGAATTGCACAGCCTTGCAAAGCCCCTACCCAGCCGGGAAACATTTCCAAATCCTCTGCACAAACTTATCCAGTCCGTTTACAACCACTCAGGCTCTTTCACACGCGTCATATACAGCAATAAACACAAACCCTTGGAGAAGCAGTCAAAACGCGAGTAACAACCATCATCATCATCATCGTCATCATCATCATCATCATCAAGCGTTCAGACAAGCATCCGAAAACCACTGCAAGTCCCCAAACCCCCAAGTCTACGTTCAACCTTGCCTGCCTGGTGCGAGTGTGAGAGTCGAAACCCCCAAGTCTTCATCCCAAGCCCCTGAACCTTGAATCCTTCAACCCCGCAGCCCTGAAACCTCAAGGCGGAGATTCCGAACCCGAAACCCTGTGTGCCTACCGGGCTGAGGCAACCGGCATCAGCTGACATGTCTGGACCTCTCGCTCCAAGCATAGATGCCAGGGGCCTAGGGTTCAGTGTTAGGGTTTGGGACGCTTGCGGTTTAAGTTGAACTTTAATGGCGAGGTTACAAGGTTTAGTTATAAGTTTTGGGGTCAGGGCTTACGGTTTACAAATTGAGGCTTAGTGTTTGGGAGGATTTGGTTTGAGATGTGGAGATTGCGGGTGAGAATGGAAAATCTTTTGGCTCATGCACCGGGCGACCACGTCCCCTTCCAGAATATGGATACTTTGGATCCCCTAACCTGAGCTCCGCCCATCGTGCATTCAAGCCACCTGAATGATCAGACTTGACTTATAAAGCTGCTCATGATACGGTTGTGTAGGGCCCGGAATGATTTGCAGAAGCTTCCCGGCATGCATATCTGCTTGCAGGTACACATGCACGTGTGTATGTACGAATGCAGAATAATATGTATGTATGTATGTATGTATGTATGTATGTGCTCCAAGATCCCTGAGCACAAGGATCTTTCTCAGGGAGCCTTTATGGAAGCAGCACCTTACAAAGCTTGCAACGAATCTTTCTTGAATTCTTTAAGGCCCAGTACAGACAGAGCCGTGATACAAGAAACCTCATAAGACCACTGCTGTACCTTGAAAAGGGCTTATTCAGTTTCAGGGCATAGCCCGGGGGCTCCATGTTTGTTGTGCAAGGGCTTGAGGAGAGCTGTATAAGGGTTTATGAGCCAAAAGGCCACGAAGCCAGCAGGTTACCCACACTGTGGCAAGAAGCACCCCAAACGATCGAAACTCCACATGCACCACAAGCAATTGCAGCTCATCCATGGGTCAAATTCACGAAATGCCAGCAGGGCCGCATGCTTCTCGTAAGTTTGCCGCAGCTTCACTACCGATATGATGCGGCAAGAGGTTATCTGGAGAAAGCCAACATAAGCAGGATTTGCACATCTTGTCAAAATGCAGCAGAGGTGCAGCAAACCCCGGCAGCCGCAAGTGTGGCAGCTACCCAAGAATCTGCAGGCGGTGCAAGTGAGCACAAAGGGCTTCAGGATTGCCTTCGTCTCCTTTGATGCACGGCACGTGGTCAGTCTTCCCATTCGCCACCGTCTTGATGATACCACCCCCCGTCGCAGAAACAGTATAGGCTCCTTTCAATTGCAAGCCCAGGACGTGCCAGACGTCCCTGCTGCCGCCTCAGTTTCAAACAGGACTGGTTACCATCGGCTTGACATGTATGTGTGGCCGGCGTTGGAAGCGCAGTTGTTTTGGGGTTGTCGTGGGTGTGTGCAACGTAGGGCAATGTCAGTGGGGCAGGGTCCGTTGTTTGTTGTTGTTGTTGCTAGTCTTGCTGTCGTTGACTGACAGTCTTGCGACTTTCGAGGGCTCCTAGCTAAACCCAAACCTCGAAGCACCCTCCCCCAACTCCAGATCCAGAGAGATTCTAGGGCTTTGGAGGTTAAGTGTTTGTGTGGGGCTTTGGAGTGACAGTTTTTTGGGTTTAGGTTGTTAGATTTGCTCAGGTCGGGTTTCAGGCTTCGGGATTGGGTTTTAGCTCAGTTGCATGCATGTTTCAGGACTTTGGGCCTTGAAGGCCTTGGCCTGATGTAATTGTCAAGGGCTTCTCTATTGAACATGATTAGGGTTCTATTCGAGTCGAATGAGGGTTCTATAAACGGCTTCTATAGAGGCAATTTCTTGAAAAGCTGATCGTAGAAAACCTGGCACAACGACAAGAGTTATACATCGAGATCTGCATAGGCAATTTGAAAGTTCCCCGAGAGATATTTTTGCGCAGAGTCACGCAAGACCGGCATTGCACAGGTTGTCGGCCTGCTGCCAGGGCCGGCAGCTGCTGTGCCAAGCGGTGGCGCAGGTGGCATTGAGCTTGTTGGGTTGAGTTTACGGATTTACTGGCTTACGGGTCAAGGTTGTTTTCGGAGGTTTGGGGTTTGGCGGTTTAGGGTTGAGGGTTCGGTGGCATTGGGGTTTAGGCGGTTTAGGGTTGTTATTATTGGGGGGTTCAGGGAGGTGAAATCTCAGGTATTCTGTGTGGGATAAGGATTCTTCCTGACAGGTAGATGGTTTAGGGGCTTAGGAGTGGTGGGTTGTGGGAGTGCTGTGGTGGACTTGAAGGTTAGGGGGCTCAAGGTTCAATTTTGGTTTCAGCGTTCAGCATCACGGTCAAGGGCGAGTGTGGGCTGGAGTTGAAGTTCAAGGTTTCGGGCTTTGTTGACTGCAAAAATTTTCCAGAAACTTGTTCAGATCCTCCGACCCCTCCGCGCTGGGCCAGTTGCCCTTGCAGAACAAGTTTCGACTGTTGGCACTGCTGGGCTACAGGATCCTAGACTTTGGCCTTAAACCCTGCTAGACCACGAGTCGTGGGTTGGGAAGACGTTCAAGGCTTACGTCCGTCGCAGGGATACT